AACATTGTTTATCCTGACTTCAGCAAGGCTTTCTGAACTGGCTCCCGTAACATTCTCACTGACAAACTGATAAGATACAGGCAGAAGTGCTGGGCTCAAAGGGTTGTGATCAGCAGAATGAATTCCAGTCACTAGTGGTGTACGCCAGGGGTTGATACTAGAGCCAGTATTGTTCAACATCTTTATTAATAACTTGGATGATGAAACACCAAGTTTTGCAGACAATGCAAAACTAGGAGGAGTGATTGATGGATCAAATGGACTGTCCTGCCATTTGGGGGGGCTTCGACAGGCTGGAGAAATTGGTCAACAGGAATCTAATGAAGTTGCACAAAGAGGAGTGCAAAAGTCCTGCCCCTGGGGAGGAATAACCTCATGCACCAGTGGACACCGGGGGCCGACCGGCTGGAAAGCAGCTTTGCGGGAAATGAGCTGGCTGTCCTGATGTTGAACATGTCAGAGCTTGAGTCTACAATGTGCCCTTGCACGAAAAAAACCAAGCGGCATCCTGGGCTGCTGGAGGCAGTGCATTGCCATTAGGTCGAGGGTGTTCCTTCCCCTCTACTCAACACAGGTGAGATCACACCTGGAGTGCTGGGTCCAGCTCTGGGCTCCTCAGAACAAGACAGACGTGGACAGACTGGAGCTAGTCTAGCAAAGAACCAGGAAGATGATGGAGTGATTGAGGTATCTGTCATACAAGGAAAAGCCAAGAGAGCTGGGATTGTTTAGCCTTGGAAAAGAAATCATGTGGGGGGTGTTATCAGTGGGTATGAATACCTGAATGGGAGGGTGTGATGGAGATGGAGCCAGCCTCTTCTCATTGGTGCCTCCTTGACAGGACAGAGGCAATGGACACAAACTGAAATAGAGGAAGTTCAATTTAAACGTAAGAAAACACCTTTTGGGGGCGATCAAAGCTGTGGCACAGGTTGCCCAGAGAGGTTGTCAAGTCTCCATCCTTGGAGATATTCAAAACCTGACTGGACACAGCCTTGGGTAACCTGCTGTAGCTGACGCTGCTTGAGCAGGGGGGTTGGACTAAACGATCTCTAGAGGTTCCTTCCCACCTCAACCATTCTGTGGTTCTGTGATACAGACCATTTCAGTCTTTGAGGCTAGTCATGTTGTATGAAGACGAGCCCAGTAACCTAAGAACTAGAAGCCAATTCATTTTATTTGGAACCAATTAGTAAACAATTGATAGCAACTTAGATGATAAAATTTGTGGCAAGGTGTCTTGACATGTTCAAAACATCAACAAATATGTGGCTTTCTCAGGCGTTGGTTTCTACTGATCAGTTAGCTTCATTATTAAATATCAAGAATCCTGATCTTGAAACCAGAATGTCATTTGGAAGTAAGTGGTTGATTGTCATCCTGTGTTGCACAACAACCACTTAGTAACATCTGCTTTTTTGGTTTGTTTGTTCTAAATTTTATTTAATTATTTTTAAAGCAGGCTCTTATGTGTGAGTAGTAGACAGGCATGTAAAGCTAAGTTAATATTAATTTCCTTAGTTGGCCAGGCGTTGGATGGGAGTTCTTTCCGTGCAGTGTCTGCTTCACAGTGCCCTTCCAGCAAGGAGCAGACAATCTCAGTTCTGTTGTTTTCTTTTTTCTTCCTTCCAACCCTATTACTTCTCTTCATGTTGGTTGACTCACCATAAGGCCCAACCAGTGCCCTCTAACCTTCCTGGGATAAGGTCTCATCCTTCTTCCCTCCCTTATTACGTATGGTTTGTGGCTCCCACTGCAGCTGTTTAATTGCTTATACCTTACCACTCTTCCTGTGATTAACACCATTGTTCATACTGAGGTCAAGCAGAACTTAAACAAAAACAGAAAAGTGCTAATATGGCTAAAACGAGGGATATTAGACTAGCTGTCACAAGGGTTTCTAAAATGACTTTTTTCCAAATGCAGTTAAAATCAAGCTAAAATAGATTAGAGGCCACATAAGGTCTGACAAGTGTTGATGCTAGATATGGATAACAATCGTTATAAAACCAAAGGCCTATAATTAGTACAAAGGCGTTATTATTATAAACAGTTGGTAGCCTTTCTCACATTTTCTTGCACCAGAAAAATCAATTCTGTTATTCGGCTGCAGGAATTTATTTTTGAGACACAGCTATTTTTAATTTTTACCTGTACTCTGGAGGGAAAAAAAAAATATGCTATTGCTATTGTACTGGCAAAGTGTGCAGGTGACACATTGGAGTTGTCCATGTTTGGGATAAAGGGTGGGAATAGGTCGGTCAGAGAAATCAAGCTGAATCACGTGCCAAAATCAATGAGAGCAGATATAAATGTAGTTAAATGGAAGGCCATATTGAAGAACAATGGGGGATGTGAGAATTTCGTTTAAAACAGCAGCAACAAAAAACAGTTTGAGAAGTCTTTTAAAAATTTCATGCTTACGAACAGTGTTCAAACCTTCAGGAGGTTGATTCTCCCCTTTCCCCCTGCCAATTGCATGATCTTGATAAAAAATTTTCTTCCCATGAATGTAAGTTCATAATACTGTTTTTTTTCCATGATCTGACAAATCACTTTTTAATTCACTTAATTTTATTTTTAACCAGTTTTGGGATTTTTTGTATGTTTTAAGTTTTGATCAAGGCCAAAGAGTGAGATAGATCCCGGTTTTCTTGTTTCCAGTATCACAGTGTTGCCTCTTACTTCCTCCAGTAGGTTGATTGTTACTGGACAAGGGGCGTTTCACCTGTTGAGTTTCCCAGGGATATGTGAACTAGTAGCAAGTTGCCCATTACCACTTAACATCAGCAACAAGATTGTCAGAAATACTGGCTTAGGTTCTGTTAAACTTAATCTTCTTCACTGATTTAAAAAAAAAAAACAACCAACCAAAACCAAACTTGAAATTTATCTCAAGTACTTTAAAAAGTTTTTCATAAATTCAGATGTATGTTAAAAATTACATGCTTAAATGAAGTCATTGATTGTTTTATCCTAAAGAGTCTGCTTACCCTTTCAATTTATTGAGAGAACATCTCTGCACATTAAACTTCTAGTTAAGTTTTTTCCCTTTTTGTGAGCTATGGTTTCATTTGAAGGCATTGCTAGAAGCTGATTTCCAACAACCATCTCCATCCTACATTAAGAGCAAACAAAAGGTAACTTCTGAGTAGGTTGAGATTATTGTGTAAGCTCAATTTATTGTTGTGACAAAGACCTTCCTTATTCTCTGTGTGTGTGTGTGCGCGCGTATGTGTTTGTTCGGGGTTTTTTGTGTTTGTTTGGGGGGTTTTTGGGTGTGGTGGTTTGGTGTGTGTTTTTTTGGTTTTTGGGGTTTTTTTGTTTTTTTTGTTTTTTTTTTTAAAAACTGTAGGGTGACTTGCTAGAAACCGAAACTAGATTTATCTTGTGACTGAACTAAGCTTGCTTTCCTGCTGTTATAAAGTAGGCTGTTGGCAAGGAAAAGCTTTGTCATAAAGCAAATGCAACTGCATCTTTCTCTTGTATAAGGGGAGGGTGAAGAGGATATAGTAGAGACTTAAGGCAGTGGTGGTGCGTTGACTAAAAGTGCCTGGCTCCACAGCTAATGATCCTGCTTCTTCACAAAGCACCTTGAACTAGGAAAACTTCCTTGAATCCTTGAGCTACATAGGCAGTTAACTGAAATGTTTCAGGGCTGTTCTTATGGCCTGAGGCCAATGAGCTTGGCAGTTGTCCATACCACTAAGTGCTTTTGCTCCTTATAGAGTAGCTAGAATCCAGTTTGCATATGTAATGTAGTTTGACCTGTGCTGACTCACAAACCAGCGTCTGGTTGGTCTGGGCCAAAACCAAGCAATGCGAGAGGTTTGTAGCTGTTTCACAGTTGATGCTAGGAAGTGAATGTGATTCAGTACCCAGACCCATGCCCTGGTCCTGCTCGGTTCACTGGTACAGACATAGCCTTGGTCACCTATAAAGAATGGCTAATGAGGGTAGTAATGAAAGTATCAGCTCCCTCTCTTGGCACTGATAGATCTTGTTTTTCGTGTGTGTCTAGCACTGTGGACATTGTTGGGAATTTATGTTGTTACTTTTCACATATTCAGAAGCTGGATGTCTGAATATATTACCTGCTTTATCACAATTCTGTGGAATATAAAATGTATTGCCATTGCCATTCTTTGGTCTAATGATGATACGAGGAGCTGTTTGACTAATGTGTATGTATCCATGCATAAAAGCATTATACTCTATTGCTTTATGATTGCATGAGTAGCAGTTTAAAATTAGTAACACTGAGCTTTACTGTCTTTACTGAAGTTCTTGATTGAAGATTTCCATTTTGTTAAAGTAGATTCCTGCTCCTGGACCTTCTTAGCTTTTAAACTTGAAAAAAATCCCAAACTCTTTGAACAAGGTTCTGTTAGTCAAAATCAGAATTTTCTGTAAGGTTTTGGTAAATTTGTATGTAAATTTTTGTTTGGTGTTTTTTTTTTGTTTCTTTAGCTGTAGTGGTTAGCAATATTTTTAAAAAAATATATTGATTGTCTTGCAAGTGGTGGATAAATGTTTGATTGTGTAGACCTCAAAAAACAGGTTGCTTTGGAGAAGATTTGAATGTTTGCTGATCTTCAGTTAATAGCTATGTGGAAGGTCTTATGCTTGTTAAATTTGAGGTAATTGCTCCTCCATGGAAGCTGCCTAAGTCCTCCTGAATTTCTCACACGAGGTGTGAAGTGAGAAGCATACATTTGGGCACTTAAAGTTGAAAGTTGTATTGCATCTTTATGTTCTGCCTTGCAGTTCTGCCTTGCAGTTTGGTACTTTTTTGCACATTTGTATTGTAGGCTACGTTTGTACGTATTTTTGTATATTTGCCTAATTACAGCAAAATGAGAGAATTACTATAGTAAGCTGTACATGTGGCAAGTGGTCCAGTGTTGAAATAAACTTTACATCCTGGAGAAGTATTTTAGGTTATGAACCCAATATAAATGCTGTCTCCTCTTTTTCCCCCCCCCCACCCCGTTTGGTAGCGGATACCCTGTTTTCAAGAAAACTAAATGGAAAATACAGACTTGAACGCCTTGTTCCAACTGCAGTCTATCAACATATGAAGATGCACAAACGAATTTTAGGACATTTATCTTCCGTATACTGTGTAACTTTTGATCGGACTGGCAGGCGAATATTTACTGTAAGTACAAAATCTTTATTTTTGTAGTTGGTTTTTTTTTTTTTAGAGTACAGATAACGATTAGGTGACATGCTTCCAAAAGCTAGATGTGCTGATGTTGTGTATCAAGAGCAGATAAATGCTTTACTACTGTTACTCTCATATATGCTTTTTAAATAACCATGCTGGTTTGCATGTTAAGATAGTTTTGGCATACGTGTCTTAAAGCTAGATGTGGTGGTGATTGCCGATCTGTGTAGTTCAGTCAGAAAACTCGGGTTATTTTCAGTGGAAAGGAATTACCCTATGTATATTCTTTCCTCTGGACTTGTTATCTCTAGCAAAAACATAAGCAAGAGAACGGACCATCACTACAGAATTTGATTAGGAAGTCAGAGGACAATCAATATGTAATCAAAGATTATTTTGACTCTTTTCTATAACGTTTGTTGAATTTAAAGCATGACTATTAAGTTTAACAGTCTGGTGATACACTTAGATTTGGTACATCATGTTGATGGAAACTAGAAAGCTGAAAATTCACATGGTGTGTTGTAACAAATGTTGGTTCACAAGGAATTGTCTTTATGAGATCCCAAGAACTTTTTTTTTTTTGTAGCAGTGTTCTTAGTATTTTTAACTATTTTAGATCTTTTGTTGGTGGCGGTTTTAAAAAAATTAGATGTCTGATACCAGTACTGAAATTGCAAGTTTCCCAGGGAATGGGAATTATAAAAACAGATAGGTGTGAGTGTAACTTGGGTTTCTTGGTAGGTAGTCAATTTTAGTAGAGCCAAAGATCTTGTAAATACACACCTTGTCCAGTCTGGGATGCTTTGGCTGCATTTATTTCCTTCCGACAGACACTGGATGTAATTGATACCTTTGTGGATCCAGGAGCTTGATTGTATCCTTTCTAACCTCATAGCAGATAACTCAGACAATGCAGGTGGAAGTATGGTTCAGTTCTACTTTATGTATTGCAGTCCTAACTTCTAAAATTCTTTCAAGGCGGTTGTAAATATAATTCACCCTTTTGCCCACATATGTTTTGCTTTGCTGCATGGAGGGATGTGTGGTTGCAGGGATGGGACACTTACAGTGTTTTGAACATGCAGTGTTTATTTGTTCACTTGTTACTTCAGGCATAGCAGAGACTTTTTTCATATTTCTTTAGCTTTCACCAGCAAGCTAAGTCCCTCACCAGTCACAGCCATTAAACTCTTATGTCCTGGAGTTTATGCGTGATTAACCTATCAGGGAAAGGGCTCTCTGTTGTGAGTTTATTTTATATGTGACATGGCAGAATGGATTAGAGATTTTATGTGTACCAATTGTAAAAATTGCCTATGCTCACCCTGTTCACTTCTAAATAAAAACTTCTGTTTGTGCTTCCTAGATGAAGTGCATAAAACTCTAATGGTCTTCTGATTCTTCATTTTCCTAAAACTTTCTCATGTTCCTAAAATCTTTCCTCTTCCAGAGATATAATAAACTTCCTCTTGGATGCATCTGCAATGATCATTCCTTGTTGCACATTCGCTTGCTTTTTGCAGTCTGATTTAAAAGTGGTTAAAGAGCGAGAATTCTTTTGACTGTAATAATAGTTTGTTTGCCAAAGAAATGTAGAAGAACCTGAAATAAAATGGGAGGAGCAATATTGCTTCTGCAACCCCAGAGCTTTGCTGGCAGTCCTTTGCTGACAGATATACTGGCGTCCTGGTAAGACTGCTTGAAAAAGGTCCTAGTTTAGATCATTGTGACTTCAATCTAGTCTTAAATAAAGTGTCCATAGGAATTAATTGTGGCTGGTGAATTTTCATTTTGGAGGGCCTGGGACAGAACTTCTTATCTCAGCATTCTCAGGTAATCCACTGTTTTTTGTGTAGGTGTTTAAGTGGTTGTTGGCAAATGGAAAACCAGTGGGTTGTATTCCACATTCCAGTAAAATCCAAGTTGCTGTAGCTGGCGTGATGTAGTCAGTGCATAAAGTCATGAACTGTCTTGTTGTAATTGCGTCTGTATAATGAAATGGTGCCAATTCTTTTCAATCTACACCACTACAATTTCTAACATATCTAGTGTAGTAAGTAGAAATAGGAGTTTATAATCAAAAGTAAGGCAAACTTCATTTCCAGACACGTCTGTTGCCAGTGTAAATTTGCATGCATCAATAGGGAATTGTTCTTGCTTTACGTTTTTACTCTACAACCTCCAGCATTCATTGTGACATTAGGTAGATAAGAGGTTGTTTTAGATTTATAGTTTGTTCTAGAAGATGCATTGTAACTTTTCTTTTCCTCCTGACCTGTGAAGGATTGAAAGCCTCTAAATTCAAGTTCTCTTTATGTTCTGCTTCAAATTAAAAGAAAGTGATCTCAGCACGTTTTTGAGTCATACTTTTCTGGGAGATGTTATCTTTGCTAGGAAGAAGATGCTCTTCGTTTGCCTAAAGGCAGTAAAAACAGTTTTCCTACTAGCTAGTAGGTCGTGCAATGACTGTTTCTATTTATATTCTTTTATGGATTTCAGAAGAGATTTTTGAAGATCAACCTCTTACCTGTTTTTTTTCTGAATATACAGAAGTATTCTTAATATACAAACTGTGTGGTCTTGGTAATTTAGGGGTTTTTTGATCAACTGCAATTAAAGCATGCTCTTTACTTGGAAAGACACAACTAAAAGACCTATCAGCCATCAGTGAAGAAAACCTAGTCATTTCTGAGACTGTGTATTCTGGATCACTTGAAAAGCGTGACTTGTTGAACCTACACAGGGTAATAGAAACAGGTATTGTCTTTTCTGGTTCCTGCACTACTTTCTGACTGCAAAGAAGGATGGCCATGTCCTTTTTCCCTGCCTTTATCTTCCTGTCTCCTCTGAGATTACTCTTTCTAGGGAATAATAAGTAGCGTTGTGTAATAGGCTGTGTAAGGTTTCCAACCCAAGATTAATTTGTACGTTTCTTGGCAGTTTCATTTCAGCCCACAAGTCTGTGTAATGGTAGGAAAGTGAACCAGTTTTACTCCATACCTTGGCAATGCTGTCATCAGTTCTCTCTTGGTGCTGAACTTGTTCTAGGATTCACTTTTGACAAATTATTTTTAATAGGCACATAATTCGTAGCAGTTCTAGACATTTGGAAACATGAGCTGTGGTGTAGGCCAGTGCCCTTGCTAGTAGAACTGCAACAGTATTTTAAGAGTTGTGAACTGTCCCATTCACTTCAGGCAGAATCCCATGAATTTATTTGAACTCTAATATTGTTATCTTGCCAAGATGCTACAGAAAGTACAATTTTACCTTAGTCTTTTTTTCTTCCTTTTTTTTCCCTTTCCTTTTTTTTTTTCCTCTCCTTTTTTGTTTTCCTTTTTTCTTGTTGAGACTTGCTAACAGTCATTTATTTTTTTTCTGCAATGAAGATGTACAACACGTGCCTCTATAGCTATACTATAGCCAGCTGGTAGGGAGCAGGATGGTTTTATGCTGATCTTTCCTTGGTTTGCTAAATAGACCTCTGAGGACCCTCCAGGTGGCATTAGGTCCCAGAACTAGCTTTTCTTTTCTTGCTGACCATTTCACATCTTTAAGTTGTCTATGTGCAGGTTGCTTTCCATGAGTTACATTCCGCAAGCAGCATTTTAGGGGTCTCATAATGCAGGGTTTGGTTTATTGGTTGTCTTTTTCTTTTTTTTTTTTCCCCCGCTGTGCTTTGAACAGTCTGTTCATCTAGTAAAATGACTGCAGGCTGTATCCTTACTGTAAAGTCAGTAGCTTATTCATAATATTGATCTGTACAATGTGAGAATTGCAAAAGCATGTTTTATGTAATGTGTATAGTCCTCTAGACAGAGTATTTATTTTTTTTAATTCGTGCAGCTCCAGGAAAAACAGGACCAGTAGTTTGAGATTTCTAGACTATGATGCAGTTAATATTAATGGCTTGGTTCTGTTCTCATGCATGTACTGCTTTGAGAAAGAGATTAACCACATGCGAGTGATTTCTGCCGCCTATAGTGTTTTGGAAGTTGTGTGTTCCCTATTCCCTTCTTCTACTTTCAGGTCTCTCTTTTGAATGGTGAGGCTATTATTTGTAAGCATCAGTTTCACACACACACATACCCTTTTTGCCTCCTCCGCTTTTTTGGTGGTGACTGCACTTTTGAGAAGAATACACAAGCTTCTTCATGCTCTTAAGTCTCACGCCATGGTAACAGTAGAACACAATGAGCTGATACTATTTTTCAGATAATCATTGCATGAAGTAGGTGTAGAGTTTGAAACTTTTTGAAGCTTTAGATGCAGAAGTGCAAATCTGAATCTAGAAACACAGGAACAGTTGTGGAAACTTATTAATTGAATAGCATGGGGGAAAATAAAACCAAATCTGAGCGCTTTATAGAGTGCTTATATGTTTGTTTTAAGGAAGCAAGGGATTAAAACTGAATCTGCTTAGAGATTTATAAGCAGAGTTTAGAGGAAAAAAAGGGGCCCTTTTTCTCTAAACTGCTTATAAAGCTCTAAACAGCAGGTTTGATAATTCTGTTGTAAACCTGTGTTAACTTGTTCATTGGAATTGATTTGGAAGTGTGCATTGCTGAGCTTGTTTACCAACTTCTTTCCTCTTTCTTTTTCCTTCTCTTTCGCTTCTCAGCAACTTAGTGAAAGTGAATAAATCAAGCTATAAGTGAAGTTAGCCTGTGTGTATTCGATTGTCAAAAACATTCTGTGACTGAGCTAATAACATAAACTTTTTTTTTTAACAAATAACACTGTGTATCTCGTTCAAGGTATTCAATATGAGTATGATTTGGAGCCTTTTCAAAAGCATTAAATGCTAACAACTACACTTAAATGCAGTTAAACAACTGTAAATTTAACAGATCCTTGAATCTTCTTTCTTCTTGTAGAAGGTCTGGGTAGGTGAGCATCTTACTGGGAGGTCCCAAGTTCTACCTATTAATTAAAACCTATTCCTGAAGGTGGTTTACTTTCTTTTCATACAAGCATTTGAGCTGAGA